CTTTTTTCGGCCCTCTCGGGGTTGACTTTTTGTTGACTCTTCACATTCTCGCCCGTTTTTTCACCTTCCGGTCATTTTCACATTCTCTCTGAGATGGAAGACGATCTTCCACAGGGCGGGACTCCCCCGGAGCATGAGATGGATCCCGAGGCCGAGCTCTTGCCTCTGAGCGTCTGCTCGTTTAACCCGGCGACCTACCGGCCGGCGATTCACATACAGCCTCCCGACTGACTTCGCTAGTTCCGAAGTTTTGACAGGACGGTGCCTCCAAAGCTTCTCCTGCGCGAGCCGGAGTCACATCTATCATACGGCGCTTCCGAGGTATATTCTTCCCCGTTTCATTTTTCGCAATGTAGAACACTTAACTGCCATAGTTGATTCTGTTATTTAACTGCTTAGCCTGGATACACCGATACACTGTATGTTGTAGTTGACTGTGAGCACACTTGCACTCGATATCTGTTTGAATTGGAACATGCTCACACATATTGTATTTGCCCTGAAGCACTCAAACACACTGACACATCATACACTGTAGTTCACTGCGAGCACACCAGCACCCGATGTTTGTTTGAACTTGAGAACGTGCACACACGTTATATTGTCACCAATTCTGAATGCTTTTCAAAACTGTACATTTTATATTGCTTCGCAACTATTTTGCTTTCGAATACAGGGAGATTCCCATGCCTTCCAGGGGTATGGGAACGTCGCCGCCAGAGATTGGTAGATGGAGCTGCCGGATGCGGTCCGCCACATCGTAGACCAGGCCAGTTTCGGCGCCTTTTGCAGGGGACTTCCTAGACTTACCGCGAGTAGGCCTCTGCTCGCCGCTCTGGTGGAGAGGTGGTGGCACACCACCGATTCATTCCACTTCTCGGTCGCGGGAGATATGACAATGACTTCCTATGACTTCTCGATACTCACCGGCATCAGGGTAGGAGGTGATCCGATCCCTTTCGATACCGACATGGATGAGTGGGACGCTGCCCAGTTGTACTTGCTCGGCACTCAGTCGCCTCTCACTTGGGCACGGTTCGTGCGATATTCGTGGTTCGAGAGCCACTTCAGGGTTCAGCCAGCTTTGGCCAAGGAGGCACCGATGGCTCAGGAGGAGGTGGAGCAGTATGCCTGCAGCTTCCTCATGTTCTTGCTGGGGACTACCATTTTCTCCGATCGGGAGAACACTGTGACCCTCTGTCTGCTCAACGCTCTTGTGGATGTCACCAGGAGGTTGTGCTACGACTGGGGTGGTGCTGCCTTGGCCACTCTGTACGGATACATGAGCTCAGCCTCCAGTTGTAGCGGACAGCTGCTCGGAGGCTACTGGCGAGCTTGGGAGGTACAACTCTTTCTCTGTTTTATATTTCTGCCTTTCATTTTCTGTACTCTGTACACTGCACACACTGTGGTCTGTTTCACACTAACTGTATACTGCACACACGGCACACATATACCCTGCTTTTCACTGACTGTATACTGCACACACTGTACACTCCACACAATACACTGCACAATACACCGCTCTATGATTTCTGCTTTATTCTGCATTCTGCTATATCTGATAAGCATACTGATACTTACTCTATAGTTGTGGGTCTACGCCTACTTTCCAAGGCTTGCGCCAGTGCCTGACGAGGAGACCTCTCTTGTCGTTTCATTCTCCCAACGCTTCGACGTGAGATGCATGCGGAGACCACGGGAGACATTTATCTTCTTCCGCCGCTACTTTGACACCATCACCCCCGCAGAGGTATGTTCAACTTTAGAGTTTATTTAAACTTCGCTTTACACTATATTTTCAATAACAGTAGATAACAAACTGCATGCCATTTACAGATCACCTGGCAGCCTTGGGCTCCATTGCCAGCCGTGATGCGGGAGCGATTTGCCAGTACCGAGAAGACTGCACGCTTCAGGATCTTGCTAGAGGGGCCGGTCTGTCGGGCTTGGTACTTGGGTGAGCGTTCCTACGCCAGACCCTAGGTTTGCCAGAGCAGATAGTCCCGGTTCACCCTCCTGAGCATATGAGGGATACCGAGAGGTTCACTCTTGAGCAGATGGCCGACTATACGATCGGCTGGGATGCGACACGCTTCAGAGGCATAGGCGACTACTCAGATTACGTTCAGATGTATACCATGCGACTTTTGAGCAACGGCCGTCGAGCCGAGAGAGAGAGAGGCCTGCGGCGTCAACGGCTGGAGTAGGGGCAGGAGCGGGAGCGGGAGCATCGAGGATGGCTCGAGCCCGTGGCAGGAGCGGAGCTTGGAGAGGGCGGGGGGCTAGTTGGCCAGCACTGGCCGTGACGATGACATGCCGAGGGCGTGGTGGGGCGACTTACCAGATCCCCATTGCTCTCCCTCTGGCTGATCACGAGCTAGTCAGGTTCTACGGCTTGCCTCCGGTATGTACTATTGCATTTTGCATTCTACACAGTTAGTTCATTTCAATTCATTTGACATTCCGCAAAATACTGAGACTTCTAACACTTTTGCAGGCTTCCTCCAAGTACACTCGGCAGTCCCTAGAGTTGACCGCCTCTGTGATGGGGATTGCTCTAGCAGAGCCTCGACCTTCTGGCGATTTACAGTATTCCGGTATGTTCTTCTGACCACGGTCTTAAATCGTAAACTGTTTCACACAATCTGATGCACAACACAACACTTGATACACGGCCCTCACGGTATCTGACACACTGTAGCCCACAGACTGTTCAAAGCACTACTCACGGCATTCATACACTGTACTCATACACTGCATTCTGCACTGATACACTGCTCACGGTATTCACACACTGTATTCATACACTGCATTCTGCACTGATACACTGCTCACAGTATTCACATACTGTATTCATACACTGCATTCTGCACTGATACACTGCTCACAGTATTCACATACTATATTCATACACTGCATTCTACACTGATACACTGCTCACAGTATTCACACACTGTATTCATACACTGCATTCTGTAGCATACTGATACGCTTGCCATTTGTACTTTTCAGCATCCCTTCCAGATTCCTACTATAGGAAGTGCTCCAGCTGGACCATCCGTTCCTGTTCGAGAGGGGGATGGAAAGGGCAGAGTATACCCCCGCACTAAGGCGGGGCACACTCATGTTGGGAGTAGCTCACGGGCACCAGTCCCCGATGACGATGAGTCCGAGGCGGAGACGGAGGCGAAAGCAGAGGCGAAGTCATCTGAGGAGGAAACCGGAGATGGCACTGACTCAGGCTCAGATGACGGCGCTGATGACGATGCTCCTGGTCCTTCGTCCAGGAAGAGGAGAAGGACAGACCCTTAGGCCTGAGGCCGCTTGACATTGATCCAGATTTTTGCTGCTTTTCTTTTTGTACTTTTCTTTTTTGCTGGTGGCTAGAGTACCTTGTACTGCCGCAGGCAGGTTTTGTTTTTTTCAAAACTTTGTACTTGAAAAAGATGATGAAATGAAACAAAGCTTTTTATCTGAAAAAGTGTTACATTTTGGTACATTACATTACATCACATCACATAACAATGTAAATGGAATTGATCTCCTGTCTGAAAGTCAAATATTTGTATTGTAATAACCTGGTAACGAACCGGCCAACGGCAAAACAACTCATACAACCCACTGCTTAGTTTGAACACTCGGCCGATACTCTGCTGGGAATTAATCTGCATACAGGCCATTCTATTTATTCTACACAAGGCAAACCCTGAACAAACAGTCCAATCTGACAAGACAGAATACAAAGGTAGAATCGGCTGAAGTTGAAGCACACTCAGATGCCCCAAATTTTCCCTTTTTTCTTTTGCTTCGCATAAATGTGGAGAATGGCACAACACTCTGAGCACGGCGTGATTAAAATTTTTTGAGATTGAAAAAGGGTTTTTCAAGCCGGGGTATTGAGCCTACAACTGAACTCAATGAAAAAAGACTCAAACAGAAAGTACACGACCTAATCACAACAAGACACGCTCAGAAAAGACTCAAAACAAAAGTTGAGGTAAACAAAACAAAAGACACGACATACCGACGTGTTTACAAAAACGAGAAACCTTAAATCACGAGGAGCCAGTTCCTTCGGGCATTATTTCCCACCCTTTCTCATTTGTGATTCTCACATCACTCAGCCCTCAAGCTCGGTTTTTTCTCTCAAAAACGCTTTTGCTCACTTTTCTCTCAACTTACACCTCTCTATTCTTTAATCTCTCATTTTTTATCCCTCCCCGGGGTGATTGATGGATGAATAGGAAGTTGTGGGTTCAAACCCAACAGTGTTAGCTCGCAGCTATTTCCTCCAGTGACGTCTAGTTGATGTTCCGGAGTACCTTGATCCATTCCAATTTGTGCGTCGCACTTGGTTTGATTCCTTGTCGCTTAGAGGGTGAGAGAGCTTTCAGCCCTTTAATGACAGCTTCAGTTGTGCCCTTCTTGGCAAGTGTGCTGGCGATGGGGGAAAGACGGGAAGCCTGACTCCACCGTGTCCATAGTTCATCATTTTGACCATTTTTTTGTTTTGGTTTTTACGAAAACAATTTTGACCAATATGAGAGTTGGATTAACATACTTGTGCGATTTTTGATTTGAAAATCATGCAAGTCAGGCTATGAGCACTGAAAATTTTCCTTTTTTGGGTCCAAGAAAATGGTCCAGTTTTGGAAATTGAAACAATTTTCGAGAAAATGGTCAACCTCAGTAAAAATTCTCAAAAACTATTTTTGCAAACAGTCACTACTTAACGAGCGCAGAACTTACTCTCGAGATGTACAAGCTCAGATCGGAAGGAAAACTGCCCCTTTTCTGAAGGACACTGCATGGCAATGAAAAGTTGCCCCTTGTTTGAATGGCACCGCAGCGCTTTCAATGGAAATGGAAAGTTGCCCCTTGTCTGAATGGCACCGCAGCGCTTTGAATAGCAACGGAAAGTTGCCCCTGGTTTGAATGGCGACTCATGGCAACGGAAAGTTGCCCCTTGTCTGGATGACGCTGCAGCATATTGTAAACAGTCATTCTTAGTGATGATCATAACCGAACTCTCGGATACAGAGAAGACGAAGATGGTCAAAACCAATATATGGACACAGTCGCTTTAAAAGCGTTGGGGGCTGGACTTCAGGATGAAGCTGCCTACATATCCCAAACATGGGAATCAAAGATGATTAAAACCATTACATGGACTTAGTCGCTATTAGAGCGTTGGGGGCTGGACTTCAGGATGAAGTTGCCTACGTATCCCAAACATGGGAATCAAGCCTTACGTAGTTCCGGTTAAGGTACACTCGGGTATTAACCTTCGCTTTTTAGGCTCTAACTTTTGCCAAGGCCCCCGTTGCGAGTTTTCGACCTTGCGAGCTTTGTTCTTCTTTCCTTTTTTAATTCTTTTCTTTTCTCCTTTTTTTCTTTTTTTTCTATTTTTCTTTTATCATTTCTTTTGCATTTTTTTTTTTGGCTCTAACTTTTGCCTGGGTCGCCCTTCCGGGTTTTCGGCCCAGCGAGCCTCTCAAAGGGTAAAAGTGTAACAAGTCCATGCCAAATGGTTTTGAGATCCTGAAGTCATCTGAATCCAGGAAAATGACTGTTGTATTGATTTGCTGAAGGACCCATCTTCGGTTCTTCGAGCACATCGGACATTTTTGCCCCTAGTTGGAGGGGTGCTTCTGTTCTAGCTTCACAAGCTTCTTCTGATGAGATCTGATCTTCTTGATCTGACTTTGGTGCCTCTTGTTCGAGGGCTGCTTCCAATCTAGCCACCCAGGCCTCTCTTGATGGTCGATCGTTGAACGCTCCGAATTGTGGTTCAAGGTTTTAATGCAAGGGCTCAAGTCTTGAGACTGAGAGCGATCCTAAGCTGCACAATCTCAAGAGTGATTCCACACAGGTCTTCGCAGGACCGCACAAAACATTTTGTTTTTGAAAGTTTTTAAAGAAGTGACAAATCGCTCGCGCT